ATACATGGAAGTGGGGCAACAAACTCCAGGTACCATAAACATCGATGGTGAAGAGCTAAAGAAGACAACGTCATACAAGTACCTAGGCAGTCGCATCTCAGCGGAGGGAGGCTTACAAGATGAGGTCGCAGGCAGGATGAACACAGCATGGATGAAATGGAGAGCCTTAACAGGAGTTCTGTGCGACAAACGAATGCCAGTGCAACTTAAGTCCCAGCTGTAGGACCGTTATCCGCCCAGCAGCACTGTATGGCAGTGAGTGCTGGCCGTGTACGCGGAACGAGGAGCGCAAGCTCAGTGTCATGGAAACAAGGATGCTACGATGGACCTTAGGAGTCACATTGAAGGATCACATCTGCAATGACAGTATACGAGCGCGAATGAAAGTAGCTCCAATTACCCAGAAAATGCAGGAAAAGAGGTTACGATGGTATGGGCATGTGAGCAGAAGGGATGAAAGTCACATCACCAAGTTGGCCCTGGCTGTGGAGGCACCAGGCAAAAGGCCCAGAGGTAGACCCAAGATGAGGTGGATGGACAGAATCAAGGCCGACCTGCGAGAGCTTGGTATAGATGAAGACCTTGCCTCAGATAGGACGACATGGAGAGCTTAAGCGGGACACATGCGAGGATAAAAAAAATGTGATGCTTTTGAGCGCAGTTTCATGAGACAGAATTTCTCAGAGGAGCACAATTGGAACCTAATTTTGGGTGGCGTAAGCAGTGAGCATGTACGACTTGGTGCTGTCGCATAGCTTTAATTCTTTATGAATATACTGCTAGTTTTCCCGCAAGTGTTCAGCTAAATTCCTAATATATATTACAGAGTTCTGCTAGTATCGGTCCTCCAAAAATCCTAAGGAAGCAAAAGCTGGGTAGCTGCATCTTTGAACTCGTAATCCCGCTTTCATTCATTCTTGCTTTAGAAAAATACCCTTCAACGTAGACGACATTTTCTACCAAGCTACATAGGCATTATCTTGGAGTAGTACAGATGGGTACGTTTTGTTTCTCAAAAGCGAACTTCGAACTTCAATTCAAAATTTTTCGAAGAGACTTCGCTGATGACTGAGAGCAAGGAGCATAGTAGACCGTTGCATATTTCTGTAGGATAAATTTTCTGGGAAATATTTCTTAAGTGGAACTCTACCACATATCTGGAAGGTATCGAAGGAACTAGAATTCAAGAAATTATACAAGTTGCTTATACTGGATGTGTTGAAAATAATTTGAAAAAATAATTACATTGTATTGGCACCTACTTTATATGCATGGGAGTTAAACAGTCTCTAAAATAGCAGTTCCGGCATAATTGTTCTCATCTCATCGTTGAGTGCTGCCAAGCTTCCAGAAATTTATATGTTTTCGAAAACAGCAAATAGACGTAATCATGTGCTCGGTTTGCTAATGAAATTACAAAAATGACAAGGAAAATACTGAATACTGAAAGGGAAAAGGAAGGGGAGGGAAGGGATACAAGGGAAATATTGCGCTCTACAAGCTGATGGATGAGTTTTTGAGTAGGTATTTAGCTCACAAAAACTGCAGTGTTTTCTTCATTAAATTGTTTGAAATACTCACAAAGACATATCCTACCAAGAAACCAGTCTGTTACTCAAGTCGGGCAGTGATTACCGAGGAATTTGCGAGCACTCAAAGAGAAAATGCTGCAAACAGATAAAAGATTTTTTGACTATGTAATTTTATACCTTGTGGGTTGTGTGAGATTTGCGTATTCGCGATTATTGCCGTGTCTCCATTTCCGTTTTTTGAGAACTTTTTTGCAGAAAAATAGCGGGGCTATTATGATGATTTAGGACGCAAAGTATTCGATTTCATGAAAAGCTTTTTGTAGGCCAAGTAAGCAATAACTTCTTTGTGGGATGTGTCTTGAGTGAAATAACATAGAATTAATGAGTGGAATGCCAATTTCTCTCAAGTAGAACGCAGGAAGACTGAGATTTGCTCCATTTGTCCCATGATTTTGGAATTTACAACATTCAGGGATTCTTCAGTTCTTTAGCTTCTTTCTTTTTGTTTACGAAACGCCCTACACTGCTTAGAAAGAGTTTTATCGGGAGCTTTAGGTCCTGTAGTCAAGCGGACAGGAAACATGCAAGGACAACTCATTCTTTGAAAATATGGAGTCGAAGCGAAACCCTGGAATACTTTTCATAAGAGACCCATCAGCCTCAAAAAGCAGACAATGGGAATAGCAATAAAGAAGATGACCGGGGAGAACTAATGCTTGTTGAGCGCGGAAGCAATAATGCGGTTAATCCTCTAATGCAGGTATTAGGGCTTTGTAGAAAAAATAAAGAGCTCGAATCTACACTGAGCGCGAAACAATGATGGATAATATCAACAGACAAATGAAGATTACATAGCACGAATTCTCGGCTGAAATATTATGAAGGTGGGTCCGAAAGTTCGTGCCAATTTTTTGTACCTATCCTCAACCATTCAGAATAATGATAGACAAACACTCTAGAAGTTTTCTATGCAAAATTTCTTCGTATTGCCAGCAGTAATGTTTTTGTTTAGATTCCTTCAATGTTTTTTCGAATAATCGCCACAATCACCAACAAATGCATTTTGAGTAGTATTCATCAACGAACCCTGAGAGTAAACCTCCCTCAAGGGTAGGTTTTACCCTCAGGGCTCATTGGCTGTATTCATCAACGAACTCTTGAGTGGAGGGTTTCCTCCAAAAAGCGACTAACCCGTATCGATCAACGAACCCTGAGAGCAAATCTAACCCTTGAGGGTTAATCTTACCCTCGAGGGTAAACCTTACCTCAGAGAGCGATTAACCGGTATTCACGAACGTGGCTCATCAGGGTAAATTTAACCCTGGTACAGAACAAGATTAGATTCACTCTGACAATTTTACACGTCAAAAGTTCTCTTGAAAAATTCTTTTAATACATTGCATTTTGTCTACTCTGTCTATCTGTTGTCGAAGTATTAGGTTGTCAAGAAAAAAATGTCGTTTTTCATTTGCTTGCTTTAACAAAGCAACCAGACTCAACCCAACGAAGGGTAATGGGTATTGTTCGATAGAGCAAAGCAAGCTCTACAAGATGGCGTTCACGATCTTGCGCCAAGCTTGATCCACGGAATGTTCGAACTCAAAATCTGAAGATATCCAAATGCCTAAAAAATCGAAAAAAATCAGATCTTCGTCCAAATAATTTCTACGGACCTCCCACTCGCATACGTCAATACTTTCGATATAGTATATCCATATGTGCAGTTGCTGTATCTTTTCCTTGACTACAAACTGAGCAAACAAAAATTTTTGTGTTTTTCTAAAAGCAATGCTGAGCCGTTCTTGCATATGTGATTCTATACTACAAGTTTAGGTAAGTACAACTATAGATTTTCAGCCTATTTCGAGCGATAGTTTTCGAGAAATGTTGCTTTTAGCACTGAAACTGAAAAGAAGAAAGCTGGTTTCGATATTTCTCGAAAACTACTGCTCGGCCTGAAAATATACAGTTATACTTATCTAAACTTGTAGTATAGAATCACATATGCAAGAACGGCTCAGCATTGCTTTTAGAAAAACACGAAAATTTTTGTTTTCTTAGTTTGTAGTCAAGGAAAAAATGCAGCAACGCACATATGGATATCATATATCAAAAGTATTGACGTGTGCGAGTGGGAGGTCCGTAGAAATTATTTGGACGAAGATCTGATTTTTTTCGATTTTTGGGCATTTGGATATCTTCAGATTTTGAGTTCGTACATTCCGTGGATCGAGCTTGGCGCAAGATCATGAACGCCTTCTTGTAGAGCTTGCTTTGCCCTATCGAACAATACCCATTACCCTTTGTTGGGTTGAGTCTGGTTGCTTTGTTAAAGCAAGCAAATAAAAAACGACATTATTTTGTTGACAACCTAATATTTCCAAAAGTCAGAACAAAAATTTGAACAGATAGCAAACTCAGGGGAGGTAAAAACCGTGGGTTGAAGATTCTGACAATTTTCAAAGTGAAAATTATAGGAATCCGAACAGAAACATTATGGCTGGCAAGAGGAAGAAATTCTGCATAGGACCCTTCTTAGAATGTTTGTTTATCTTTGTTCTGGATGATTTGAGGATAGTATAAAAAACAGCACGAACTTTCGGACCCACCTAATACATAAGGAGACGGCATAGACCACTAGATCTAACGGTCATTGAATTATAGTGCTTTTGCGGTGATGACAACTTTCACTCGAAAAAAAAGCGATTCATGTGTATGCCGTCAGCTTGCTTGTGACCTTAGCTCAGATGCCACAGAGAGCACATTTTCATTCTTCACGCGCGAATGTTGTCGGCATTACAAGTACACTATACTAGCGTTCGAAGTACAAGGCTATATGTCTTGGACCAAAATATCAGAACTTTTTTCTATACATCGGAAGTTTCGGTTATAAAATTCAATCATTCTTGATGTGTATTTACAGAAAACATCACCCAGCAAATACGCAAATGGATGAGATTTTTTGGTGCTTTGTTGATGTTACACCCTACTAAATATGTATTGAAAACTATCATCCTGAGTCGGCAAAATATCTTTTTAAGGAGTGGGCGGGGGGAGGGGCAAACAAGAATTTATCCTGAGTAAGGAAGCAACGCTACCTGGGAAATTTGAGAGAAACTTCCAAAATTTGTGGGAGGTTTATGTTACTCTGAAATTTTGGAAAAAAAGGTTGCGACAGCCATGCCCCAATTTTTTTACGAGGACAATTTTGAATTTCCAAAGCTTAAAAATATTTCGACTATTTGCAGTAGTTAGGTATATCCTTAGTACATGTATGCTACATCGACTACCTGCAGCTATTGTTTTAGTCCTTCCAAATTCCCATATAGTCTCGCTGCTTTTGACCCATTAGCTACGCCACCATAGCTTTTCGTTTCCATGGATCCTTTTCCGCGGCAGTATAGAGACAATCATTGCAAGCGTCATGTTCTTCACTCTATACTGAGAAAAGTTTTCTTCTTCTTAAACATGGCGGCTCGAAGAGCTCGTAGTCAGAATCGTGATACGGCCAAGGATATCATTCTTGGACTTGCGTAAGTGAAGGTTTTGAGCTTTTCTATCATTACGTTCAACAAATGAAGCGTGGTTTCCCGTAAAGAGGGAAAGCATCTATTTCGATTTTAGTTTTTTATGGATTTGATCTGTAAAGTTATGATTTGAGTAATCACTTTTCCTCTGTGAGTTGATGATAAGACTATATTTTCTAATTGTCGGAAAAGTGGATCTGATTCAGTTTTGTAGTATTCGAAGCTGGGTAAGGGTAGAGTTTTAAAAAAACATAACGACTCCTCGTTTACAAATCAAATCCCGAATACGGTTGGCTGCATTTGCATACACTTTTCGATTCTATGGTTTTCTGTCTAATGCGAAGCAAAGAACTTAAATGGTCACTGTGCCCTTCAAAATTCAGAGTCGTTGTGGATTTCTCTAGCATACACATATATGTTTCAGCCCTTCCGGACAGGGCCCCAGGCAACCAAAAGAAGGTGTGGCATATGCTCCAAAGGTATGTCATCTGATAGTACCATGAAGTACTTCATTCTAACAAGATGCTGTCAATAGATAGCCTTCAAGTGGGATAGCTGGCATTCATATCAACTTACTGCATATACTAGAATCTAATTTTTGGTCTTTGTGGTCTTGCTTCATAGTGACTTTCGCGGTCAAAAATGTGAGCATTAATTCTAAAACACTATTATTTGAAATCACTATTGTCGTGGCTTGTCTTTGTATTAGTGGTTCAAGTCCACAATGGTCTTGGTATTCAACAGCTCAGTATTAGTTTTACCGATTGGATTAGTCAGTTGTGCGGTTTGATCAGAACAGCCGTATTTTCAACCCTGCCTCCTCTCGCTTTTATAACTCAAATACTGGGCCGATAATGCATGTACATGTCAGTTTCTTCATCGCCCATCATAAATCGTATCCGTAATTGTCCTGCCACATTCCCTGTTATTTGACGTTCTAGAATCGTGAAGCTTCCTGCAGCACAAGAATCCTTGTTTTTGTGCGTTTGAGAAAATAGATAACAAACTAAAAAACACTTTTTCATTCAAATGAGTATGTGAATGTTATCAAAACACAATTACGATCTGTTCGATAGAGAATGGTTACCGTAAAATTTCACGCTGTGATTTTTTACTTCATTTTCGGATCATCTCGACTGGGTAGCAAAGAAAATCAATTTTCTTTTTTTTAAGTGGCAAGCAGCACTATTTAATCCAAAAAGCAAATCATGCATTCAGAATTCCAGTTTGAATGAGTTAGAGTGAGCGGAATGTTCATTTATCAGCTCTGAACTAAACCTTGAGTAAATTTGCAGAAATGCCCATGTTATAATTTACTAATAAGCAAAAATCAAATCGTTGTGGAAACATCAATGTTAAGGGCCAACCTATATACTACTATGATAAGAGATCTCGCAGCGCTAATAATTCAGCAAAGGTATGATTTATCTTGTGCACGTTTTGCTGTGATTTATCCAGTATGTCAATCCCAACTTGCCTGCATCCCTGCGCACAAACTTCAAATATTTTCCCTTCACTAAACATTTTCGAGGAAAATATGTAAATCTGTTAGACAGAGGAACCAAAAGTGGAACGTGTCGAACGGGTGATTGTCGACCGACGCCCGGACAGTTCGGCGATACGACAGCTACAGAATCAGCTGGAAGAGGTGAAGCGTCAGAATAGAACTTTGCTGGAGAATGAGCAGGTTGGTGACGTGTGATTAGCCTGGAATGCATTCTCAGTCCAACTCTATCCTGGCTTATCCCTGAATTTCATATTTTTGAACTTTACTTAATTGTTAAAAGAATTTAGGCAGCTAGGAAGCGACTAGAAGCGAATCAAGATGCGCTACAAAGGAGGATGTTTGATGCAGACAACGGAATGAGGTGAGTCAGTAGTGTTGCCAAGTTCAGAAACTGGATGACATTACTATTATGTTGGATAATGGATAAGTTCGGTCGCTTTTGCGGCTCTTACTAATGCTGCAGACAATTTTTTTTGTCCTGAGTATGGTATCTCTGGAAAGAGCACTTTAATGAGAATTGAAGTTTAATTTTTGTTTGAATAGAATCTTCCGAGGAAGAAAAATCTGCAAAGAAATGAGAAACTTCAATTTTCTCATGATGCGCAAATGTGAAGAAATTTGATTTTTTGATCAAAGATTTTCAAAATGGCAAATCACAGTTTTCATTGTTATTCACTGAATAGGGAAAATTCCTTTGTATAGATACTACTGCTGTTCTCTATATCTATACGGCATGAACACGAAGCTTAAGAAGTCAAAAAATTGTGCTTTTGGAAATTTAGCCATGTTGAGGCATGACTGTCTTTATTGATGATAGCAACTGAAAATCTTATATGTGATAGAGGAAGCTTCAGACTACTTGGACTGTACAGAACTTGGCTGCGGGTGTAGATTCTACAGTACTTTCTGCCCTGCTTTCAGACAAGATCCACAAGATTACGTCAAATAACATAGGATCATTTGTTCCCGACTAAGTTTTGCATGTAACAAAGTGAGCTTTTCTAGAGGAAAGCGTTTTTTTCTAGGATAAAAATACAGGGTGTCCCAAAAGCAAGTACACACTTTTCAATCGTCAATATCTCTCTTCCCAATGGGTCTTTTCTTGCCATTTAAGTACCATTCTGTAAAGGAGGCTTCAACTTTCCACAGTATCGAGCGAATCACCGAGCGCTTTTCATTACTGTAGGATTACGGTAAGAACTTCCAGCATGTGAAACCATTGTGAAATATGCCATCTAACAAAATTTTTTTCAAAAAATCTGAAAAATAGTCTACTAGAATTCTCGCGCACGCTGATTCCACTACACAACTTTTTATGAGTGTTTTCAGCTTTTTTGACGATGTAATCACGTTTCTGACAAATACTGGGAATGCGGTTATTACGGTTACTTGGGATAACTTCGGAAAAAAGCATCACAGCTAAGTGGAACTTTCATATTCGGAATCAGCGGCTTCCATTACCATAGTATGAGAGTTTTTGGCTTGTTTGGTTCTGTCCAAAGCAGAATATGGCTTCCATTGGCCTAAAATCCTTGTCAAAGTTCCTACAATAATCCTACAGTAACGAAGAGCGACAAATCGATTCGCTCGATAGTGCAAATCTATGTTGGAGCCTCCTCTACAGAATGGTAAAGTGGCGGAAAAAGACACAGTGGGAAGAGAGGTATTAATTATTAAAAAGTGTGTACTTACTTTTGGGACACCCTGTATATACGTTTGACCCATAAAGTCAGAGTTGTGGTTTCTGCTAAATCACTTTGCCTGCGCTATTTGGCACTGGTCACGAGCATTGTATTTATCTCGTATAAAATCACCATCTTCTGGGATTACGGTGGGTTTACGATAGGTGGGTCAAACCAGCAGGCTGAGGAACCGCTTGAGCAGAAGTTTAAGTAAACTGGAAATTTTGTTTTACCGTTCCTATCCACTGGAAATTTTGTTTTACCGTTCCTATCCACCCTAGTCATATGATCTTTCATCTTTTTAGAGCGCGAGACTACGACGAACTACGTCGTCAGATTTCGTCGGTGGATGGCAAGGTGGCCAGTAGTTTTCGCGGATTTTTTTGATCATCACATTTCCAGATGATGTCCTTGAACAACGACATCAACGGGTTGAGGAGTGCTATGGACCGACAGATGAGCGATCTTCTACATATAAACAATGAAATGAAAAGCAGACCCGTGGTAGATCCTTCTGTAAGTAATTTGTATAGATCGCAATCCCGATGCAATTACGTATTTTCAAAGGGATTACATAACCATTGTTTTGATGTGAACTAAGAAGTTCATAGAGCCCGTGTGTCAAGCAATTTACGGTAGTCATACCTGTTTGTGTAAACTGGTTGGCAGAACTCAACTGAGTCACTGTGCAAGCAGCAACTCATCAGTCCGATACCGTATTCAAAGACGGTCATTGGTGCGCTTGAAATGAGTACGGTAACTATTGCAACACAATATTTGAGTTTCTCAACCTGATATGAACTTTATGAGATGTCGCTTGATCAGTGGCTTAGTTAAAACCTCCCAATCAGTCCCAGGCAAGAGAATTTAAGTATCCGAATTTGTCTGGACACCGCGTACAAGTTCATTTGACTAACAGTTCAGAAAATTGCGAGTTCTGCCCAACAAATGGACGGAAAAGTACGAGATCTACACTCTCAAGTGATGTTGTTGAAGCAAACTCTGGATACCGAAAGGCATGAACGTGTCAAGGAAGGAAATGCCTTGAACAGCACGTAGGCATCGATTTTTCTTGTATCGATTTTTCTTAGTCCACCTCATTCATTTCTCGTGAGCGGTCGTATTCGTTTCATACTCTGCTTGTTTTAATCTTTGTTCCTTTTGTAGATTCAGTTAAACACAGAAGTTCTTTATTGCAGTCTTCAAAGATTACAAGACTATATAAAGCAGCAAGATGCCTCAAGAGCTGAGGTTCTAAACAACATAACTCGCAAGGGTGATCTGGATAAGGTAAGCCTATTTCGGGGTAGTATACGCCCAAATGAAATTGCTACTCTCTAGGAGAAGCTAACAGAAGAGGCAAGACGTCTGAATGAGAAAATTGGCCTCATCACTGCAGAAGTGACGAGAAATACTTCAGAAAGTCAGAGAAAGTTACGTGATGATCTCTTCCAAAAGTGTGCGGCGTTAGAAGCGGTAGGTTTTTCTCACGTTTTTTTTGTCAAAATTACGGTGAATTGGCTAAAAGAGAATAGCTGAGGCTGTGTACAGATTCGCTCGGTACGCGTCGTGCTAGCACCGTGCCAGCGCCGTGTGAGCGTCCCGTATTGATCGGACACGGCGCTAGCACGGACAACTTTGAACGCAGCGTGAAGTACTTCAGACAATGACAACAACAGTTATGAATTTAAATTTGAGGTGGAATTGTTGCTTGATTTAAATCCTATCCGCACCGCTTCTAATTCGGATCGCGATCCGTTCGGGATAGGCCGTAAGAGACCGCGTTAATTCTTTTGCGTCCGCTTTTCGTGCGGGAGGCGCTTGCCTGAATTATCTGCTATCGAACAAATAGTGCAGAGCTCAATTTCACGGTTTATACCATACGGACTGTTACAACAAAAACAGTCACCGAAACCCTCAGTGATACACACTCGCCTGCAATTAAAATTTTGGCTGTAGCACGAAATTCAAGGAAATGTCTTTTGAACTGTTTTGTCGAAGTTATTGACTATTAAGCACATCTGGGTTGCTTCTTGCCTAGACTTTGTGGCCTGCCACTTACCCCTTGGCGCGCACCAACTGCATGCCATTTGTGGTTAGATCAGGTTTTGAGTATAGGTACAGACTGCTCCCGATACTGCCATATAAAAGTGCTTCGTTCCCTATTAAAGTTGTATTGTATTCTGTGGCACGGTGTTGACTTTATTCATAAAGGTTTGGACTGGATTCACCTGAAAATACCCTTTAAATACTTGAAATCTAAGTAAGCTAGAGTTGTTGATGATTTTGGTTGCAAAATGTTTTCACATTTTGAACTGAAGCGGCTGTTTTCTCATTCTCTACGCCATTCCACTCTTCTATGCATGAGGTTTCCATTTTGTGAAGAAAGTTTTTCGTCTTTACATTTGAAATACTCAATGGAACGAGTTCGTCAATTGATTTGGCTTTTCAAGTTTTATGCGCGTTGGTCGCGTTTGAATGAATGGTTCAACCTTTTGGAATAATAGAAACGCCATCATTCTCAAGTAAAGTAAAATGCAGAGAGTTTGACAAAACAGAGGAAGGGCATTGAACAATTATTCACTGTAATGCACAGTTCAAGGATGGGCATGACTTTACTGGACTCTGATGCCAGTGGCATCCCAGGATTTCCGTCGTGGGGGGGGGAGGGGAATTTTTCTTCCTGATGAAGGGGGGGGGGATTTTTCTTCCTGATGAAGGTGCATGGCGTCAGTCACGAATTTCGATTTTTGTGGTGCTTCCCCAATTTTTTGCGGGCTCATAACCCCCCCCCCCCCTCCCAAAAAAACTTTGTTTACAAGGCTAATTTGGATTTTTGGAAATTTTAGGAATTATTTCAATTATTTTGCAAGAATAAGCAAGTTACTTGCACATTTTTTTAACCCATGTAAGCAAATTCAAGAATATATCGCGACCAAGGGGGTCTAGGCCGCCCCGCACGGTCCGCCACTGCCGGATGCCGCAAATCATGCTTGTGGTGACAGCGCAGCGTTTTCAATACTATATATGAGTTTCTGCGTCCAATATTGCCCGTGTCAGCGTCGTGGTAGCGCCATGCCAGCACTCAAGTGGGCGCAACTTGTATTGATCGATGGATGGTTATAACGCGGCGCTAGCTGGGCGCTGGCGTATCGGAGGGGGGGGGGGGGTAAATGAGTTGAAAGTTTTTCAACTTTTGTTGCCTCCATTATGCTTCATTATCACACAGGCACTCAAAGCCCAAAATGAGAAAAGCAGCGACAATCAACGCGATCTCAGGCGAGCACTAGAAGAACGCCTTCGCTCCCAGGAAGAGCATACGGAGACACTCAATAAGCAATTACTGGTTTGTATTCTTGATACACTGAAGCTAATCACAAGCAGCTGATGACGATAACTATATTTGAGACCGACCGTGCGAAGCAGAAAGAGCGTTTCCAAAAAGTTAATGAGGCACTCGCGGCTCTCGAGCATCATTTAGAACTTGGGAATAACAAAATGGATACGATCATCAATTCTGAAATACAGACAAGGTGACTTTTTTGTTTTTATTGCGAATATGTGGGACTGCAAGTTCAGTATGCAATTAGTGTGCTGGTCTTCTCTCGAGCAATTTCGATAAACCCAGCCTCTTTCTTGTTCGTTTCTATTTTATTATCATGTCATTCTTCTACTTCGCTGCATCATCGGTGTTTCGAAGCCTGCTCTTTTGTAGCCTGCATCTAATTTCATTTAGGAAAGTGCATGAGAAAGGTCTTCTCACGAAAATAACAGAAGTGGAAGACAAACTCAATTCTTACCTTGGAAACTTGACGAAATCAATCGATGAAGTAAAGGCAGGAAAAGAAAGCGTTAAGATCCCTTCACTTGATGTGGATGCTGTAAGTTTTGTTGGATTTCATGATGCTTAGGCGGAGTGCTCTCATGTTTAGGGTGTGACCTGAGCTTTTTAGAAGAGAAAAGGTTTTGAGAAAGTTACGGAATGAAAAGTGAATTTTTCACGAAAAGGATTTTCCTCGTATCGATGGCCTTAGTTTTGCATGTTTCATAAACCTGCGCAGGTGCTTCCATTTGCTTATAGGATAAACAAATTATTCTTTGAAAAGGTTTTGATTAAAAATGAACTAATAAAATAATTTTCGGTTGATGTCGCAGCAGCAACGCTCATTCTTGATTATAAGATTGCCCAAAAATTCGACGAGCATTGGAAAGAATATTGAAGAGTGTTGATAATGCCATTCCCCTCGTCCAAATTTTTTTTTCCGTTGCGCCCTCATTATTTCAGAAAGGCAAAGACCAATTTTATTAGACAGGGGAGTTCTGCGTCTGGCGAAGTTATGATAGCAATTTTGCAGAAAATTCGATTCTCTCCTATGTCAGTTAGCAAATGCACACTTTGTTCTATCGTCCAGTCGTCATGTTTCACATTAATGGGTTAGCATGAAAACCATGGGATTTTTCCCTCAAAATAATCAACACCGTTCCATCTAGCCATGCTACAATCCTGTTTCAAAACATCGCTGCGAAATTTGTATCGTATATCGTACATAGGCTATCTAACATGGCGCGACAAATATGGCATCAGATTTTCTTCTGTCTGGGCAATGTATATAACTTCGGGAGAGCAGCACCTACCATAATACGGAACGCGTTACTTGAGCAATTCTGAAATTTTCGTCGAGAAAGGGCGTATGGAGAGAGACGGAAAAGGCTGCAATTTGAGACACAGTAATTTGGACACACATACAATGATAGAATTATGCTTTATTCTAAGTATCGGCTCAGCTACCGTAACTGCGACTGAGTCCTGTTTGGAAATACCAAAGTGAAAATTATTTCTGCCATGCATCTATCCAATAAGCAGCGGTAATTCAATTTTCATTAACAGGCCGAAGCTTAACTTCAGAATCGATTGCTTTTCTTTGCTAGTAATTCATTGTCATCCACGCCTGACTTCACCACATTTGCTCTTATAAACGACTCATTCACGCGAGAGTACGTTGTTGCAATTGCAACAGGCACCTAGCGGACCCTTCATCCTTGCGCGGTGATCTATAATTCAGCAAAAGAAATTGAAGAGCTTTCACCTCAGAGCTACCAATTAAAATAAGCATCTTTCTCCACGGCATTTGACTTTTCTCAAGCTTGTCTTCTGTTAAAAGCTGATTAACACTTCAGTTACGTCGCGAAATGGAGGCAATTGCTGCGGACAAGAATAAGCTCAGCATGGAGGGACTATTGAAGCTTGAGGAAAAAATGACACGAGTTCAGACTGGTGAGTTTTTCTTGCTCATAACTAAGGACACTTCCAGTGTACAGTCTATCTCGAATACATTATGCCATTCACTTAGCCATATGGATTTGGCAATATATTCGTAACCATAGCAAATCTTTTTTTCATTATTCCATAAAAAAGATGTTTCCATATCCAAGCTCATATTGGCTAAAAATCACTAAAACTGAAATAAATATCTCAAGCCAGGCGTATCGTAGGTGGTGCGCTGCTGCGTTTGAAGTCAATCTACTCTTCGAGGCTCATTGCCATCTTATTTTTGTACGGTTATCGGGACCTGGGCTCGGCACGAGGTGGCTAGATGAAAATGCAAAAAACGAAGTCCTCCTTGACTTTTGGGAATTTTTACAAGGTCCCCTTCGACCCTCAACCATATTTCCTCTAAAAACCTAAAAAATCTCCAAAAAACGAAACTTTGACTAAAAAACGTCGCCAATTTTGCTTGTGTCTCCAGCCACAAAAACGAAACCCCCTTTGCTTTTTGTCCCAAAAACGATACCCAGCTTGCTTGTAAGCCACCTGTGCCGAGCCCTGATCGGGACACATCCCAATACCAGGAGTATTCAAGAATAATCGAGCAAATGTATATGAAGGCTTAAATAGCTGATAGACTCACTTCAAAAATAAGATTTTCTCTACAAGATTGGAAACGCTGAGTTAATTGACGCTGTTCAGTTGATTAGAAGCGGTAGGAAGTGGCCGGCAAAAAGGGAGCTTGCGAAACGATGCTACAGAAATGTCTGCTCGCGGACTTGGTTATATGTTAAGCTTTTTTCCACTTAGCGATAAATACATAGACTAATATCCAGCACAGTTTCTTCCTCTTTCTTTTACCTTAGATTCTGTCGAGTCATCACTACAGCGTTCAATCTAGCCTATTCCTTAAGATCTTCCTTCTGATTCTGGGGGAGTTTGGTAGGGGCCAAGAAAATAAATTCTTCTCAGTGCGATGGTCTCCTTTTTGAGCTTCTAGCTGATTCTCACTCCAAAAGATTTGGTGTAGTTAAAGTGCATATCTGGGCTTTTCAACTCTTAAGGAAGATCTGCTTGCAAACAATCAGAGAAAATTGAATTTATTCTACCAGTAGCAAAAATTATAGTACAAATGATACGATTCAAATGCCAATCGTCATTCTATGTGATGTAGAGATGGAAGATGACATCACCACTTTACGGCCATTTTTTATATTTTTCGACACATCCATCAATGTTTCATCTATGAATGCTCATATAATGCATTCAGTACTGCGCCAAACTTGTTTATATAGTTCAAAACAAAACATTGTTTATCATGATGAAGAAAAAAGCAAAGAGTATCATAAGAATCAAGCGGTGGCGGTCCAAGAAAATTTTTTCGGAAGGAGGTGGGTATAAAAACATCTTTTGGGAACGGGCGCCAGCACGCCTTTCGAAAAAAAAATCTGGGCTACTTCCCAGAATTTTCGCGAGCCTATACTCAATGGTCTCAAAAAAACCTTGTTAGAAAACGGGGCGTGGCTGCTGCCCTGTGAGAAAACATAGGGTTCGGATCTTTACCCTAAATATCCCTACGGGTACCCTATCAGCTGAATATGTAGTGCATGTAGTGAGCACATAGGAATCAGTGGCAGACACAGGGGGGGGGGGGGGGAGGGAGGATTACGGTAGAGACTTTGGAAAGAGTTTTGAGTCAAGAAAAGTTATATTACCTTGACCGAAAAAAGAAAATCTTGACTGAATCAGTATTGCTGATTCCATGTACAATTTTTCGCTTTAGCGTAACTTCTACTTCAAATGTTACATCAAATATACAGTGTCAGTCATTTCCTAATGATCCTTAAAAATCTTTCTATACCACCTGAATTGCTCTACAAACATGTACAGAATTATCTACTAATATCAGCATGTCTAGAAAGCCCACCACAAGAAATCATTTATTAAGAATTTCCTGAAAGCAGCTGATCTGCAATGATGACACCGTGATGGAAGCTCTACCGTACTCTTATATTTATGAATAGGGATAGCTGGTCCATTTTCAAGTCGAAGTTGAGATCAGCCCTATAATGTGGTACCCAGGTGCAAAAAAGCTGCTCGGACAAGTGGCAAAAAGCTTGAGCGATCGAACGTTCGATACATTTCCTTGGCTCTGTATATTCTATTAACGAACAAAAAACCCTAGAAAATTCTCTTGCACCTTTTCCTCTCTTCTGCTGAAATTCTTGATGTGGAGGCAAAATACTTAATGGTTTTCTGCCCAAACATCAATAGAAGAAATGTCTGCTTTTTTCGTATGAAAACAATTCGGACTCGGAATGTGCTAACCATAAGCGAAGATATTGTTGGATGGTACAATTTCTGTTCACAGTGCTCTATATTATGAAAGTAAAAAGATGGGGAAAAGGAAGTCATCTCCAGTTCCTGAATTTCGAAGGCTAGCATAAGGCCCTGTTCAAATTCAGCTCTTTCACCTTCGACAGTGAATCCGTCATATTTTTAGCGCGGAGAGGGGTAAATGCTCTACTCCTGAGAAAGCACAGAAAAATTTTTTTACTGTCTTATTAGGAAAGCATATACGGACAAAATGAAGTCATTGTAGGTCTCTCACACGACCGTCGCGAAATATCTCAGCAGATAGCTAGACTTGAAGACAGCGACGATGTGAACAAGTTGCAGGAACAACTGAATAGATTAGGAAGCGTTCACGGGGACATGGAAAAAGCTCAGGAAAAAATCAGAGATAAGGTGGAAAAACAAATACCGAAAGACGTGAGTTTTTGTCCTAGTACACTGCGAGTCAGCACATTTTCTCGACTGTTCAGTTAAACGAGCTTTCCGCGAAAGCTGACAATATTCGACATCAGTTAAATGCTCGTCTCGATAAGGAGGAGGAGGAAAGGTGATTGAGAAGACTCGTTAAGTGTTCGTTTTGCTAACTTGATCCTTATAGATTTCTCGCAATCAAGGAGCTCCAAGAAGCTTTCCAAAAGCTTCAAAGCAAAAGTTCAAGTTTTCCTAGCAATGATCCACTGGGGCCTGGAAGTTCGGTAAGTAGCATTTTTCCTCAAACTGCAATTTCTTCTCCTATATTCGGCAACTTCAGGCTCAGATCAAACGTGATCTCGATGAATGCAAAGTAGCTATCAAAAAACTAGCCGAGTCCGTAACCACCGTCAAGAATGTGCTTGACAAGAAGATTAGCGATGAAAGCAAGAAGGTGGGTAACTGTGTTCATAAATCCTCAAAATTTAATTGTATTTGTCGTCAACATAGTTTTTAGAGAATTATCTACCGGGAATACTTTCACGTTTTTCGCTGATAAGATTCGCTACGCTGGCTCATTGTACCATGAAGCTCAAATAACCATCTTTTGGGCCATGAACATAATCTCATCGAGTTGATATGAAAATAAAAATAACGGCCTTCATTTGCCTATATGATTGTCGACGTTATGAATGTTGCGCTGTGCTTGTTTTTGGCACCCTCCTACATGCGCCACGCAGTTCAATCCCCTTTAGATCGATTTGAGCCTTACCAAAGAAGTTTGGTCTGATGTTCGTCTATGCGTCTTATGGAAAGGGCATCTTGATTTATTGAATTCCATGGTTTTGCGTTCTACCAAATCTTTTTGTACATGGTCGCCGCTCGTACTTAAGTGGCATGGTAAAAATATCCACAGAGGCTTCAATCTGAGTGTCATGATCGGCGCGCTAGAGTCCCTCGCGAGCCGCGTTCGCCCTCATCGAGTATGGTATTTTCCCATGTTTAAAGCGTGGGAATTACCGTACCCGTAGGCATTCGTGGCTGACGAGCTTGTAAAAACATGCCTTGAGACACGTTCGGGAAGGCGTCAAGTGGCTCAAGCGAGTAGGCTCGCGAGGATCCAGGACGCGCTGAACGTGGCAAACAGATTGAAAGGTCTTTAACCGCCATTGTCACGAATGTGTGATTGCACTACTCCACATTTTGCTATGTATTGCAGAAATTACGCTCCAAGTATTGTCAAATAAGGAATTAAAATCCTTGCAAATTATTTCGACAACTCCTATGCATTCGCTGACATGGGCGGTGAGATGTTCTGTGGCCACAATAGGGATTTGGTAAGTACCAAATCCTCCTCTGCTGAGAAAGTCATGGCTTTCGAATAACCTCTTACTAGTCATTTCAAATCACAGATAAATGAAGGCCACTGCATAACGAAGGCGCTGAAGCAGCATTGGTTGAGCGGGCGCGAACGCGGCGCGCGCGTATCACCTTTATAAGTCCTGCGGCTAATAAAGCCGCGTTCGTTCCCAAAGATATTGCGCCTTCGTCATGCAGCAGCCTATAGGTGAATAAGGCTGCAGCAAATTGACGACTCAACAGAATCTTTTTGTTTGGAATATCACCCAAGGAGATCGCGAGCGTGGAAGGAAGGTATGAGGAGTCTCTTACGTGGTGTGCAAGTGGGTGGGCTTGTCTTTGGAAGGCGTAACCTGACAACTTTGACTGTCAAAGGATTGAACTCGATCAAGTAGTATCTGCATGTGCATGTTGCAATGATTCTCCGACTAACCCGTTATGAAATTGTGGCTGCTTGGTCTAAATCACGGAATTTTTATGAATTTTCTGATGGTCGAATGTGCGCCGAGTATCCGAAAGCTCAGCACAACTGAAAGGGACCCGGCTAACACTCGGTACGAGCGCTATTAGGAAACATTCAGCATATAGGACCAGTGCGAATCAGCTGCCTTTACGAAAAACTCTAGAAAACTTGAGGTGGCAGGATTTCATCCGCTGGTTCCACTGCTCTTGAATTTGCAAAAATGATGTTTTGAACTCGACTCGGTGACCGTTAACCAGTCGAGTTCAAATACCATAATATTGCAAAATTTGAAAAGTCATTGTAGCTGTTCTTTCCGAAGGTTAAATTTTTGAGGAGCCTTGAAGAAACAGTTGTTACGGTACATATCCTATCAACTAATCATTACGGTGACATGCACTTTCCATATCTGGAGTCAGAGAGGCGAGCGCGATATAAGAGTTCTCGATATCATCTCATATCTCAAAACCCCAAGTTCCTACCGTACTCAAAACCTTATTCAAATTTCCTACCGTATTCTTACTTGCTAAAGAGCGATCGATGATATACATTGTAAGTCTATGTAGGAGCCACCCCTACAACGTGGAACAAGATGACGATCGAAGGTGTGTACTTACTTTTAGGACATTCTGTATCCTTTTCGTGAAATGCATACGCACTATTCGCAAGTTCAGAGTCTATACGATGTACTGAAGTGTTATTAGTGAGTTTCGGAAACAATTTAAGAGGATATTGGAATTATCTATAGGGGACAACATAATGCCAAGCATGTGATAATTGCTCACGCTATTCGGTATCTTTACATCAACAAATGCAGCCGTCTTAAGGTATTTTCATTTGTTTTTAAGTAAATTGGTATGTTCTACGCGGCTTGATTGGTTGCTCAAGCTGCCTTATTGAGACTGAACTTACTTGGGCTTAGCCTGAGCGGCTAAGCATGCAAAAGCAAAGTGCAATGAAGACTTATTTGCAGAGGGAAGCCGATATCAATCGACTAGCACGTTCGGTAAATTCCTAGAGGCAGTTTTTCCGCTCTACAGTATCCAATATTTATCCACTCCCACGAATTTCCATTTGAAGCATTCTTTAGAGGTTTGAACTCGACTTGAGTATGTTACAACTGTTTGTGTGCAGTCTATCGTTTCTCAGCATCTATTCATTCATATGTATAGGAAACAATTTGTCTGAGTGCATGGGCTGTTATGCTGAATTTCTGACATTTTGACATTATCGCTGGTACGTGCGGATATGTGTTCTTGTGAATGTCGAACCAAGCTTTGAATGACCTAACTCAATGTATGTTTTGTCCACCCTGCTCCTTCCGCTCTATTATGCATTGCGTATTGTTTGAATGCCTACCTAAGAAATCCGCAACCTATTTACCTAGAATATGTTGTTTGTATGTGTCTATGATGTCGTGCATGTGCCAAAGACTACATTCAATAAAAGCAATTGCACATATAAAAATGTGTTCGCAGAGAGTTTTAACATTTTAAAGCATTACGCAAAGGGAAAATTTCTGTATGGTCATCCTCATAATACCATAATATTCACGAGCGAAATGAATGTTACTTTGATCCCATTTTAGATCCCTATCAAAATCAGTTCCAAGCAGAGTACAATACCGATTATATTTTTCAAAAAAAACGACGCCGCGGTCGCCCGAATTATGTGACATCACGTGGCCATATCTGGCTTTAGTGTGAACGAAATCTAAATCCAAGGGCACCATTTGACTCAGGTCGGCGCGGCGCATCTTCTGGTATATACCCTTAGATTCAACTGGCTTGGCGGCTGGTAGGCGGGGCTTCGTGACCTAGTAAAGAGTACAGAATGATCAGAGAACACGAGCGCGAGAGAGACGCTGACTGCGGGCGCGAGCGGCTTTTATTGGGTCTCAAAGCCCCGCTTTCTAGCCGCCAATCCATTTGAATCAAAGGTTAGCAGTGCCTGCTTGGGCACAGTAAAAGGCCAGATTCTACGAATTTTTTCAGGTTTTTACTCACGGCCCAATGAGTGCAAGGAATAAGCACGCTGAGTAACCCACTGCAAGCAAAAATCTGGAATGATTTGGAATCTGGCCTCCTACTGTGTCCAAACAGGCACTTTCATATATCAGAAGATGCGCCGCACTGAAGTCATGGAATGTTTGTTAAGAATTTCCACTCTGAAGCGAGATATGGCCACGCTACGGTGCTGTCACGTGAATCGGGCGACTGCGCGTCGTTTTTTTTTTCAACAACTACGAGTGGTATTGTATGGCTTGCCTGCAACCGATGGCAAGCATGTCAATTCGCAATACTCATTTTTGTTGCTGGAATAATAGTCCATTGCGTGTCCAACAGCTCAGCACAGGGTTTCCTAGTGCTAAGCTAAGCTTGTCTTTAATTTGATGCTATTAAGCGCTTTTCGTCAATAATACGGAGTGTTTTTTGCTAACATAAATCACGGATTAAGCGCAGAAGAACTTTGATTGGATTGCTTGCTTACGCCTTATATATAATCTAAAGACCTTGAAAGAATCATAATCCCACAGAGAACGATGAAGTCAACAAATAAGTTGCGCGCTTAATTGCAATATCACTGATAAGAACCGTGGTCTTGATCTATTATGGCAGGTACTTTCTGTTACTTTCTTAATTTTCGATGCTGATGAATTCTAAGGACTTCCTGAAAAGCACAAAATTGCTTCATCTCTAATGAATGGCATAGACTCATCGGCATGACCAATGCCACAAATGCACACATGTTGCAGGTTTACGGCAGCTTTCTAGACATGCTCAATTTTCCTTCCTGCCATTGAATGTTTTCTCAGCCTTTTCTTGGGCGATTTCTCGTAATTTCTCAGGAATTTCGACATTAGTCTTACTATGGCGGAAGTCTTGTACATTTAACGGCTCAGAAACCAAAAAAAAACAATATGCGGAAATAAAATATTTGTATTTTTTTGTGCGTCGTGTAGGAATTGTTAGGACAAGCTAAAAAGGTATTAGGTTGTTACATAAGTTTTGTTACACTCAAATGAAATAACCCTCATAATTTTGTGTTGTCAAATGATTTTTCCTTATCTCCAAACTGTGTGTAATGTTGCAGATGTTCAATATATATGTCAACACATAAAAACAAATCAAATTTTCGAATCTTTTGGAATTTTTTCGCATCATTTTCAGATTTCCAATTTTGGTTATTGAAGAGCTTGAACTTCCAAACTGCCCAGTGGTTACTACCAATGCTCCTAGAAGTCCATAAAAATTCTAAAATGCTAGAAAAGAAGAATAAGAGTTAGAAAATAAAGGAAAAAAATGGAGGTTGGAGTGCCCTTATAGAGTTGCTTTTATATCTACTGTAAGTCATGTGGTGAGGACATAAATGGTGCCAGCGGATAGCCCTTCATGCCTTCCCCATATATGCTAAATATGAGACCTTGCCGAATTTTCAGAGTTTTCCAGAGGAAGACGATGAAAGTGTAACAGAACTTATGTAACAACCTAACAGTTCTCAACTTTTCAAAGAAGTCTAGTCTTTCTACTGATAAAATTTTTGACATAAGAGAGACTATCCGCCAACTTATGTTTTGAATAAGAAATTGTAGTGGTGCTGTCTTAGAAGCTTCCTTGAGATGTTCTTCTTGCCATGCGGCAAAATGAGTCGTAAATAATTCAAGGTACAGCCTCGCAAGTCATTCTTTCGATTCTTCTCCATCCAGTCGCACATAACCTGTCTTCTCTTCCGTTGCTGCCTCTTCCTAAACCTATCCTGATGCCGCTCCAAAACACATTCAGGTGAGATATTTTCCGTGATTGTTGCTCGCTTTGGACATTCAAGCAAATGAAGTCTCAGTCAACTGTATTTTTCTTCGAGAATCGCTTTTATGCCTGCAATTTTGGCATAATTTCATTTGCAGCAGCGTTTTGCATAGAGTTTTTCTTGTAGTAATGCCAAATCACTTATAAGATATGTACTAAACCTCATTGACTCCAGATTGGGGCTCAATCGATATGACATCATGTAAATGAGTTAGTTGCAAACTTTAAAAAGCTCTCATTAGGATGCCAATTGATTTTGTCTTGTCTTGAAAGTTTCGATGCAAGATGTTCGTATGGATCTGCAAAATTTTTCGACAAGTCGGTAACGCTTAAGTACTAACATGCTTGTTGATAATTCTACAAATAACATGGCAATAAATCTCTGGAGCTGTATTTATAGCTTTGACACATGTTCACATGCTTAACATTAAAAAACCGGCCTGTCAGTTGACATTTGTGGACTAGCCATTATTTTTTACGGCCCATGGTTTTTGAGAGCATTGTGAAGTGGATAAGGGGTAAATCAACCTATATTGTTTTACTATAAAATTATTAATTGCAAGGTTATTGAGCTAATTCCTTCATTTATTGGGCTTTGTAGTACATATTTAGCTCTTAGGCACCGAAAAATGTAGATTTTCACAACTTTCCTATTTCCAAGCAAGTAGATCCGTTTGAAGAAGCAGCACCTTATTGTACAAGGAAATTTTACCTAGCAAATACAAGAATGCAATGTGAAATTTGATTTGAGATTACTTCCGCGTCGACGACTTTTTCATTAACTACTTTTTTGTAGAGTTTATGCTAGAGAATATATAATAACGAACATTTCACAGCTGATCATTTGCTACAGTGATATGTGGCTTTTTTAGATTTAAGAGAATTTCCTGAGTCATTCGAGCATGCTTGAAACATTCATACCTATAATGAATTGTATTCAGTACCGGATTTTGAGGAGAAATGAGATTCAGAGCGTATGATTTCCCTCTCCTCCTCTTGTTTGTACTTCCCTAATCATCTCTAGACCTTGAAAGTTGAATGAAAACAGTTTTGTTAATCTACGTTCTTCCGAAGTGCAATAGGTAACGAGACGAGATTTATAGCAGCAAAACTCATGTGTACTTCCAAAATCTGAACGCAAGAGGCGAAGGATTAGCAGTGATTTGTTTGTGTACGCTATGAGGAATGTTGTGGGATGAATGTATTCGATGCGAGCACTTTGAAGAATTGTTTGGTAAATGATGAGAAATACTCGATCAAATGATGTCGAATAGGATGTTTTCAGCGTGAAGGTGGAAATAGCACTCATTCCATCGAACATGTATTAAAGTTTTCACTCACTCTATTATGAGGTAGCTCTGTGCCAGTTTCAGAGAATATTTCGCCTTTGAGCTTTCTAATAAGCCATATGGACGTTAGGCAGCTTTTTTATATTATTTCTCATCTCAAAGTGATGACCTGCATTGCAAGTAGTTAGCGATTAGAGCTTTACTTTCTTCATGTTTCGGCGGCTTTATTATACGTTTACAATCACTGGCACCTATGTAATAATTTTCCGCAAAATTAATTTTTACGAACTGTAAGAATACCATATAAAAGCCAAACATGATATTAGTTGTAGTAACGATCCATAATTTTATGGCAGATAGCTGTTTAGCGTAAACAAGAACAATTTCACTACAAACAGTTGTGTAACACAATATATAATACTTCTTTCTTACTCGATTTCTGGTATTAGGCTTTGAGTTCCGTCTCGAACATACTTCAAGCAAAAGACGCAGATTCAACCATCATTTCCTCAAAAATTACTTTATGTGCTGTAATCAAATCGAACTTTGTGTACTACACACAAGCGCTGAAGATCCAAAATATTGTATAAGTTCTTTTGCTAAAAATCTGACCAAATCTTGGATTTCTGAACTACACGCACTTGTGAAACAGCCCTTTTTTTCTGATCCTATTGTTTTGTTGATGTAATTATTGTTCTTTTTCGTAGAAAAGCCTCTTTCCAAGCGTAAAACCTCAGGTGCTTTGAATCACAAATCTTCACGTCCACGTAGGACATGAGGCTGTCACACGACGCCCAAATGCGATCTTGCATCCATCAGGCTTCTAATGCTATCCGTCTTTACATAATTAGCCGAGTGCTTGTGTCTAATATGCTATCTGCAGTTGCAGTTTCAAATTTCTCATGTTTCTTTACAAATTACATGTATATCTCTAGTTTTTATCACAAATGATAGGGCCTAATCAATCAGAAAAAATTTGACGGAAAGACTTTTCCCAGCGCACTTTTCCATGCATTACGAAGTGACTGCTCGGCTAATTTTTGGAAGTGTTGTTCTGCTATTCGATTTCCGCGCTCTGGCACCTGTACTTTACGGATTGTGACTTTTAAAGAATGCACATAGCCAATGCTTGGGAACTTTTTGAAATTACTTAGCTGACCGCGAAACCTTCCAAAGTGTACCATCCAAAATAACTAAGCGTTATCTTTAGCAGAGAGAAATACAACAAGCAGGCTTGTATAAAACAAGTATAAATTTCAATTCATAGAATTTGTAGCAATCACTTGTTGATATTCAGCATTTACACAATTTGAAATCAACGACAACTTGCAGTCGATAATTCTAACAGCAGAATTACAACAAAAGTAGAAGAAACATTCTTCCTGGATAGCAAGGCTCTTTTTTGTTTTCTTTTTGATGTCCATCGAAATTCGTATAAATATAGCCCAATAATAACACTAACACATTTTTGGACTGTACTTTGAGACAGCAAATTATGGGGATTTGAGCTTTCTCCCTAGAACTCTGAACATATACTTGCGCTGTACTTTTGTCGTAAACTCTCACTCCCCCCTTCCTCAATTGCTGAAAATACCATTCTTTGTGGCGTGACCGACTACAATCTTCGCTTGAACTTGCTTCTAATCATGCTAGAGTCAACTTTTTGAAGTCGTATGGACGCATATAGCACTTGGAGCGATAAGTTCGTATTGAACTTAGTTGCTCGAGTTGATTACGCTTCAAGAACGAGAGCTACTCAAGGAAACATAGTTGCGCTGAAAATGTTCGAAGACTTTTTGTGTTTTGCCTCACTTCACTTCGAAATTTTTGATAGTTAAGCAGCTTTAATATCGATGCATTGTGCTTCTTTCATTCAAAAGGGATCTAAGCCTAAGTAGTAAGTTGGTTATTAGTGAATCTCGAAAGTGTTGTACTATAGCGTAAGGGACTTGTATATAGAAGGAGTACTCGAAGAACACACACCGACAGGGTGTCTGTAACTCAATTATACTTTCTTAGCACCTGATGCAAGTTACATACATAGGCGCAAAAGTGCACTTGCAAGGCAGAAAGAGTGCATAATGGTTAGTTAGTCCAATAGTAGTACTTTTGCGAAGGCGCGAAGGTTCGGGCTTGAGTCGAGCGAGGGGAAGTCTGAACTCAGATCTGGCACACGTTCGCTTATCTCGATATTGTGAATCTTTCAGTAGGTCTAGAAGGAAAAGGAAAGAAACCTTCGCAATGCATTGTATTCAGCAGAAGTCTTTTTTCTTCACCTTCGAATTGAATCAGCTCATGCACATCATGCATCTTTTCTGCAGATATAGCTCTTATTTGGGTGGAAATCCAATTTTTCGCTCTTTATTGTACTCTAGCCGTTCCTTGACTATGTTCCACATATTTTCCTTCGAATTTCAATTCCTAAATGTGAATATTTCTCTTGGCTTGTCCATCCCGTATAGTGGAGCGCGCAATCGTGCGCGGCCATCACATGCACCAGCACGTAAATACGCTTCGACTTAACACTAACTAATGCAAATGTGTCTGCCCTGAAGCTCTGTTCGGTGGGTGGCTTGCGCCGTGTATTTGATGTTTTGACGAGGCACAAGACGTTCATAACCTAGTCTGTGAAGCATTGAGATTAGGTTTCACGCTGTCCAACAAACACATTCTTCAAGAGGGAGGATGTGTGAGTGAATAACAATGTACTACAAATGTTACATGATGTAATTCTTGCACTTACTCATGTCTCGAGCCACACGTTGAACTTACTCTCATGTCTCCGGGCAGCGACATTGTGAAGCCGTGCCTCTGCTCATTCCCAAACTCAGATTTCATCGCTCAACCAGCACTAACTATTTCCGCAGAATGTATTTATTTCACTACCATTCTCTGCTGGCACTCGCTTCTATGGGAGAAATCATCCCTGACAAAGTCGATTTCATCTACATTCTCTTCTTGCTCTCATATCATTGTGGAAAAAAATGAGATGCTCCAGTCTTTCTGTACCAGAGCATTACTATTGGGTTGGTCTATAACTCCTGCACAATTTGGACGGCTCATAGTTTTCTCAGCTAATAAGAGTAAGCTGTAGAACCACAACATGGGTAAAAAAGCTGTAAAATTACGACATGAGTAAAACATTTTCTTGGGCCATTTAGCATCTTTAGCCACAAAAATTTGAAAAAAAATATACAAAATGATTGCTTCTGTTCATCAGCTAGTATCTCCACGATTTGCTGATTTCATTTTTGCTTGGAATACACTTAAGAAGCGTACGATTTCCTCTGACTAAGCACTCTGACAAACGAATTTGCTCAGGCGGGAAAAAACCACAATTTACTCTAAAAATCTCGTTGCAGGACTTATGGTATCTAATAATCCGCGCATGCCTCTTGCTCAACCTGAAGTCTATAACCATTACGTCCTACCTATCTTCTCGTCACGCTCGTTTTCTAAATTTTATCACGCTAATCACACACGGTTGTCCAGACATCACGACTAGTTACTAGTGAGAAATGCGACCCTAGTGGACGATTCAAGCTCAATGAGCGGAGCTGTCATCGAAACAGCCGACGGATTCGAGTCGCGTAATTTCGGGCGCCACATCGTCGGAGCAGCAAAACTATCGTCGCGGTGTGCTCAGACCAGATCTTTTATGTTCCGTGCTAGTGTATCTCCTGATTA